ATGCCTTCATACAGAGAGTCGATTTCGATGCTGGCCTGAGAGCTGGAGGACAGGGTTCTCTTGGCTCTCTCACATGCAGTGCGCAGTCTCCTCAGTGCTCTTTTGTTCTGGCTAATGTCCTTCTTGTATTTCCTCTTGAACTCTTCCACAAAGTGGTTGACCATGCGGTTGTCAAAGTCCTCCCCACCCAGGTGCGTGTCCCCTGCCGTGGCCTTGACCTCAAAGATCCCGTCCTCGATGGTAAGGATGGACACGTCAAAGGTGCCGCCACCCAGGTCAAAGATCAAGACGTTGCGCTCTCCTCTCTTGCCCTTATCCAGCCCGTAAGCGATGGCCGCTGCTGTGGGCTCATTGATGATTCTCAGCACATTCAGTCCAGCAATAACGCCGGCGTCTTTGGTCGCCTGGCGCTGAGAGTCATTGAAGTAGGCAGGAACGGTGATGACGGCATTGGAGACTTTCTGTCCCAGGTACGCCTCTGCAATCTCCTTCATCTTAGTCAGGACCATAGAGGAGATCTCTTCTGGGTAGAAGGTCTTATTCTCTCCTTTGTACTCCACCTGCACCTTGGGCTTGCCTCCATCACTGATCACCTTGAAGGGCCAGTGCTTCATATCGGACTGCACAACAGGGTCTTCGTACTTCCTGCCAATCAGCCGCTTCGCATCAAAGATGGTGTTATTGGGGTTCATGGCCACCTGGTTCTTGGCTGCATCTCCGATGAGCCTCTCCGTGTCAGTGAAGGCCACATAGCTCGGGGTGGTCCTGTTGCCCTGGTCGTTGGCGATGATCTCCACCTTGCCATGCTGGAACACCCCCACACAGGAGTAGGTGGTGCCCAGGTCGATCCCAATTGACACTCCCTTGGGTGCAGACATCTTGTTTTTTTTGGATTTTCTACAAAACACAAACAGTGGTATGTACTGTTAACCTTAAGCTTTTCATGACAGGCATTCATCAAGCAATTGAATCAGATGTAATATAATTTTATGACATATCAGAAATTGAATGCAGTTCTTCAAGTCCCAGTATGGTAAAACTAACAAAGCATTCCATTTGTCTAAAAAAAGAAATCGTAAAACAAACATTTTTATCAACAAATAAAGTTGAATTATTCAGTAGTTCTGTAAAAGGCCTCCATCAATGCCATTAAATGGATCTTTTATCCAGTTATGTCAATAAAATTGTGTAAAAACAGAAATTCTTATACAAATTTAATTTAATTTTACATGTAAAAAGTGATAGTGGATAGTAGATTTGCAGAGTAAAAAGCTGTGCCTTCAGTAAATATTTAAATTATAGACTAGGTTAACTTTGGTTTTAGAAGGGCAATATATAATATATAGATTACTCCACGTTTCCCTTTTTGGATGTTTTAAAACATCTCAAAGTTGGGCAGACTGCTTTTTAGAAAATTAAAGTTTTTAATACATGAGGGTAATGTCACAGATGAATACAGATAAGACAAGCTAAACGCCAGTTGGGCTCCATCTGTACTTTGTTTTATATTGACCCTTGTGGACACTAAGAAACGCTTTTTGTCTTTCAGAAATGGGTATTGAAAGCAATGGGACTGAATGAAATGTTCTACTGCTATACGGGTGGATTGGTGTACTGTATTAATTTTAGCGAACGTTTATAATGCCAAGCATATGGCGTTAAACAAGTACACATTACTGTGCCTTCATACTTAACATTAGCCGACTGTTTCTCAAATGTTTTCGAGACAGCTGTACGATTAATGATAATCGAAATACCCCCATTTTAATGGAGTACAATCATCACATCTACAAGATTAAATCCATACAGCGAAGGCAATAACTACATCTCGATACATTGAAATCAACGACCGCCAACTGCATTTTTAACAGTAGTACCCGGGGAAGCTTGGTTCACTTCACTGAGCTCATTTTTGTGAGACAGCACTTATTGAATTTCCTAATAATCGCCACAAGCCATAGAATATTAACGACGATAAAAAAATCTAAAAGTGGTATATTTCACATTAGAGATTACTATACATCTGTGACTAAAGACTAAAACCTGACAGCCCATACTTATCTACCGTCACACCGACATGCATTGTAAAACCTAGAAAGTCAAGTTAAACACCACACACCGATACTGCAATAACAATTTAAAAAGCCTCCAAATTGATACGCATACAACTGGCAACTGTACACGTTCATGTAGTTTTCGGATCTAACAGCAAATGTACTTGGCAGTCTGTTTAATATCTTAAATTGCCCCCCTGGGATGAATGAAGTATTCTGAATTGAATTAGTAAAATACTTTCCAGTGCGACCCCGGACGGTAGTACAAGAACCAAGCCCGATGTTCATTTACTGTAATTCATTTCAAAACTTACCAGATCAGTGAAAGTCTTCCAGCTGCTGAAGAAAGAAACGTCGCCTTGTCGAGCGTCTTGGCTGTCCTCTCACCGGCTTCCTCTGCGAAGCGCCCTGAATGAATGCCTGCGCCGGGCTCACGGTCTGTCTTAAATAGTTACAGCGACCCATTCTAGAATCCTCACCGGCTTCGCTAACCAATGACGACGCTTCGTGGTTTCTCTGGCAACTGCTAGAACCTTCCTGCGCTTTCTGGAGCTCGGGAGTCTTCTCTGCCCATTCGTTCCGTAGTGCTTGTCGGGGGCGCGCGCGTTGGCAGGCGGTCCTCCCACAGCCGGAGGTGCACGCTCTAAAGCTGATGGCGGATGTCACGACTGCTTTTCTGGCAAGTTCTAGCAATTTTTACTGTGCGCTGTCTGTTCAGCACAGTCTGTCCCTTCTTTCATACTTTCTGTTGTACAGTACGTTCGGGTTAATTTGTTTTAATTATTTCACTACACATGATATGACATTAATGATTGAAATGATTGATTGACTAATGATGTGATTCCTCTATGTGAAGAGGATATACCGTATATCTGCTAGTCAGTACTCGGCGTTAAAAGAAACGTAACGTACAACTATACAGTAACTCTTCAATTCAGGAAGGTTTTTGTAGCAGTAGCGCCGAAATTATATAGAACGGAAATGACACAAAAGTAACCTTTTATTTAGTTCATTTAAGCTTTCGCAGTTAACGGTTAGCTACGTTGTTACATAGGCACCCTAAGGTGCGTTGTCGTCCTGGACAGTATCCTATTAGGATGGGGGCAGCAGGAATCGATCGGTATTTTGCCATGTAGTCAGTCTGCCCTTAATCACTACAAGTGTGGAGAGTTGGATTCGTTGAAAAACTTATTCTTGAAGAAAACCCAGTGCAGGAACATAAATAGCTCGGTTGAAGTCATGGGTTAGTGCCACAGACTTAGGAGCACAGCTACAAGCAGCACAGACGATGAAACTCCCCTCCGCTTGTCCTGGTTTGTGCCGTTGAAAAGTAGCGTTTTTAGCTGCTTTCCTTCCCGAGATATGGCGCTTTTTGTTGTACAGTGTTACAGTTGTTACAGTACAGTGCAGGAAATGCGGTTATTAAATGCAAATTCTCCAAACCACCGAAACAACGAGACAAATGGAGAAATAAATTGCAAGCATTGTTATGTTATCCTCGCTTTCAGTACTTCAGTGCCTGGACTTCTCAGACGGTTACTACAGTCACTTGATTACTTGAAAATATCCGGTATATCTCAGACGCTCGGAAGCTGTTGTGAACGGCTCAACCCGGCACAATCGGAGCACTAACGAATAGGGTGAGTTTCATCATTTGTGCTCTGTGTAGGGGGGAGGCAAATTCACGGAGATGCTCAAGCTGGACTGAAAACCAACAGGCTGAGCAGTCAATCTCCGAGGACCAGGGCTAGGAGCTAGGGCTCTAGAAGTATACTTTCAAGACTTGTTGTATATGGGGACAAATCCAAGCTCCACATTTTGCATCTTGCCGCTTCCACTACAACACACTGACACAAGAATACCCATGAAAGACTGATGTGGTTTTTTTTTATAAATGCAGTTGTCTCTTAATATCCCTGATGGTCATTGTCGTTATTCCATGCTAAATAAGGCTGTTCCTTTGGGAACAGTCATTTTATTGAGGAGAGCTACAGAATGGCATGTTCAGCATAAATCCTATGGTGACTAAGTTATAAATGTATGATCCCACTCAGGCCAGGAACCCAACTGAACGGAGAAATGCCTTCGTGATCACCTTCCCTGAATAACGAAAGTGACCTCTTCCTTTCACAGAACTTCAGACTGAACAGAGTTGCCAGTGATGCTGTGTGACTCAGGCTTTCTCAGATTTTGAACACTTAGTAAGTGTGTGTGGGCTCAGAGAGTTCAGCCCACACTCTGTAGCGGAGGACTGTGATGTCAGAGTTTTCCATGAGTTTGCCATGAAACAATTCTGGGTCTATAAACCCATCTCTGCACCAGAGCGGTAATACAGACAGTGACACTGACTCTGTCTGAGCCTGATCCAAGAGGAATATGAAAAAGAACACTGTTCAGGCTTTCTGACAATTTACAAAGATTTATAATTAAAGCAGCTGCACTTCACCACAGTGCAATGTTTGCCGTTATATTCACTTTTTAAAGTGCTGGAAAATTTTCCTCATGTAAAACCCTAAATTTACAATTAATCAGTCCCCACTATGTCCATCTACACTGTACCATCATCAGCACTTTTTAGTCCCACACTAAGCTAAATAATTTTTTTGAATTTATTCACCAGTATGAATTGTACTCCATACAAATATCACTTAAACATATTATTTATGAAGTATGATCTTTTTAGATGTATGAGATAATCCTTCACATAAAGGTCAGTTTGACTTATAAATTGTGTTTTTTCTTAATACAACCTTTCTGGAGTGTAATAAAACACATGGGGGATTCATGTTTTGTAATCCAAGATCTTTATGTAAATTCATCTATTTTTTTTAGTTCACCCCTGAAAGCTTTATAATGCAGTTAAACTGTGGTGCCAACACTGTGGCTATTTCATTCAAACTACATAAAAAGCAGGAACAGCTTTCCCTGTGACTTATGATTCAAAAACGTTTAATGTCCTCGAGCTTAAATGTGAAATAAAAAATACATTATTATTTCTATTGTTTTTTTGGGAATCACAAATATACAGCCTTCCTGCCTTTTATACTGTACAACTGCATAAAACTCCCAAGCTGCGTAAGGCAAAAGGAGTAACACTGTATTTCTCACAGTGGAACATGCTCTTGTTAATTGCTGTGGTTTCTAAGTAGTGATTGCCCTGCCTTCCACGTACATACACAATAACAAACTGAACAATTTCTTATGGAAAATAAACGATTTTCAGGATTGTACTCCCAATCCCAGAATCAGATACCCGCCTGCACTATTTTGCAAGGATAATACAGACTTTTTTATTGTTATGTTTATGTAAGCGCCTTTAATAATGACGTGTCTGTATCCTACATCCGATGTGTAACTTTCATCAAATTATATTGTTATTAAGTCATTTAAAATAATTTCTCCTTCGCAATTTTCATCACATTCAACGATCTCCGATGTCAGACATTATTTCCATTCGCTGCGAAGTTTATCAGTTTTAACTGTAATCATCAGAGTTAATGAAATGTTAACAGTTTCAGTTCATACTAGGCTCTACATGTTATCCAGCTGTTTCAGGTTGTGCAGGAGAGTTTTTTTTCCTGCTACAAGTCCCCGACATGTAAACAATGACACGTAATTTCCGGTTTCTTACTGGAATGAATTCATGGGTTAGCCAATCACATCGCACACATTCTCTGTCTGGGTCCAATCACATCCCTGGCGAATGACGTAGTGTGACGTCACCTCATCCCGATTTGCAGTTATTTAGGTTTCGACTGTTTTGGATCAACGTTACTTAAAATTTGTCTGTGTTGATAAGTTCATAAGGAATAATATGTTTGAAACGGGAATTCGGTTCCGGGACTGGTAATTCTGGATTTATTCAGAAGATTACAAAACGCTGCATTTATACTGACGTTTCCTGTAGGTAAGCAAGCAAGGCCTAGGGATTGTACCGTTTTCTCTTTCCGAACGGCTTGAACTGGCTGGTCTGTTACAGACGTTTTAGTTGCAACTTTCAGGGACATTAGGGGAATGATTAGAAGTCTGTTACAAATGTATTGTTTCGGGGAGTCACGTTTATAGAATCCGGGGGAATCAACGGTGGGTAGTGTCCAACAAGTCAGAGTGATTATTCCACGTACCCACTCGAGTGATTTGTGTTGTGTTAGTTCAGTATTATAGTTACGAGTTTTCGGTTTTCATTTTTAAACCATCTGCAAACCTTTAGCAGGTAGTGTCCTCACTAGACCCCCGACTCCAGCAAAACGTTTCAGTTTTATACTTTGTGTATGTGGTATTTTGTCATTATTTACTATAATTATCCTATACTCTATAATACCCTGTAATACTATAGTTGGGATTTATGTACCCTGCATCTCTGTCCTTTTGCAGATAATCTTGTTGGGATATGTAATGTCATAACTGGCTCTAATAAATGCGCAGTCATATGCGTCTGTATCAGCAAATTGCAGGACACGTTAGGCTAATCGGGCTCCGGATTAGTCATCAGTGTCATCAGCAAACTGTGTTGGAGAGTTTGCTGAGGCAAACCGTGAAATAGCTGTGATGTGGGGGAAAAAAGCGGCTGGTCTTATTTCATAATTAACGGAGTCTTTTAGACATTGGTGGAGGTGGAGGGGAATCCCCATTACCCGTAAAGAGCTTTGAGTGAAGCGTCCAAATGCATTAAACTGTCCTGACAAGTCCTGAACTTACTTCTCACTGATGAATTGTCCAGCATGGCAGTGAGCAAGCTCTTCATTCTCTGAACTATAAAGAGAGTTTTGATTTGGTTATTGTGCCTCTCACCTGTGTACAGTGTTTCTCTCTTCATCTGTATTCCCCAGAAATTCAGCTTTTCACAGAAAGAACGCTGATTAGCCCTTGCTGACAGCCTGCTTGTGTGTGAACCACAGGGGCCTTACCCAAGTGCTGGGGTGTTGGACAGTCGGAGGGAAGGGGGTCCCCTATCTTCGTCACGGGGGGGCGCCCTATCTTCAGCGCGGCCATGGCAAGTCACTTCCGCAGCTACATCTGGGACCCCGTCCTCATCGTGTCTCAGATCGTACTGATGCAGTGCGTCTACTACAGCTTCCTGGGCTTGTGGCTGGCCGGCGTGGACGGCCTGGTGCAGAACCGCCGCTCCCTGGATCAGATCTTCAGCTACGAGGTGTGCTGACAGGCCTGCACTCGGGGCTGCGTGTTCAAAATCGGGGAAACAACTGCAGAGCTTTTGAATGGATTAGAATCCAGTAAAAAGAAATGTCGAATCTGATTTGTGTGGTAGGGAAAGAGAGTTGTTCTTGCACACGGGGAGGTTTTCCTCTGTGGGGATCTGATCAAAAGAAAGAGATTTTTAATTAAGACAGTGGCCCCTTGACTGCATAACTAATAACGTGGCAACCATCTCGTAACCTTCCCCAGTTTCTGGATTAAGTAAAAATGTCAGACTTCCCATTCATTTCAGCTTCTAAACCCAGTACTTGGTGGTAGATCTCTATTGGAGTGGGTAAGGCAACTAGCACCTGGAAGACTACCTTCACTCGTTTATTTACTGCCTTGGAAAAACTTGCTCCTTTTTCTGATTTTTCTTTAGTTTAGATTACATGTAAGAGTAATTTGTGCTCATTTTAGACTTTTAAAAAGTGCAGCACGTTTTGCACTAGACTGAAAAATCACTGAGAGTCATCCTTCTAGTCAGTAATATAATCTCCAGTTGAATAACAGGGGTTATGTAGGAAAGAGATGATCTTGTATAATATTCTAACAGTAAAAGGATAATAATACAATGAATGCCCCTTTAAAAGAACTAACCTACCAATACAAGGTGACTGAAATCTCTAGTAGAAGCCACTGAAAATCGTGAGTGATGTACTGCCTGTGCAGGGCTGTCATGATGGTGCAGTTCTGCTGTTTTCACAGGTGCTTGGGTTTTCTACACCTCAAGGACGACTCTCGATGATGGCATTTATCCTGAACTCGCTCACATGGTAAGGGAATCTGCAGTTCATTGTCGCTTTTTCTGTGGTCTCACGGGATAGAGGTGTACTCTGATTTGAATAACGGTCCATTTCCGATTTTCTGGCTGCAGGGTTTTATGAGGTGCTGAATATTTTAGAAATGTTATGTCAGTTTTGCTCAGGCCTTGACTTGTGTTCTGTTCTGTGTGATCTGGCAGTGCGCTGGGCCTGTGGTTCTTCATCCGCCGCGGGAAGCAGTGTCTGGACTTCACCGTCACGGTCCACTTCTTCCACCTGATTGGCTGCTGGATCTACAACTCCCACCTCCCTGCTGCCCTCTCCTGGTGGCTGGTGAACATAGCATGTATGGCTTTGATGGCAGTGATTGGGGAGTACCTGTGTATGCGGACTGAGCTGCGAGCCATCCCAGTCAACAGTGGGCCCAAGTCCAGCCTCTGAGGCAGCGGGGATGTCTGCAGGGGCTGCTTTGTACCCTTCAGAGACTATGAACTCAAAGCCTGGAGGTGTCCTCCAGCCACCATGTAACTGGCATACAATTTGTAAGTGTGGTGGGACCTATCACTTGGCCAGTTGGCACAGATACGATGAACATTACAAGCAGAGCTGCACAAAGCAATTGTTAGATAATTTGGTGTTCGGAAACCCTGACTGAGGAGAATAACATTAAACGGCTGCTTCAGCGTGTGTCTTGTGAATCAGAACCTGAAGGGAAGAAATGAAAGTAACAGACTCACTTGACAAGGGGAGGGAGTTCTGCAGTCTTTTCCAGATTTTTTCCTCATTAAATCCGAAGTGATGGTCAGTTCAAAGTTTTCCTTTTCGATTGCGTTAATGGAACATGCTACCAATACACATCTGAAATCAACCTACGGAGTCTTTTGAATTGATATATAGAACTTTCTGGTCAACCAAATTTAATAATTGTTTCATGCAGCTCTAACAAATCTAATAAGCAAATAGGTTTATGGTCAATGTGAAAACTCTGTATTTTGAGCTTTTCAGCACTTTTTTTCCCCCCACAATGAGCTATTACAATGTGGGACATCTGGTTCTCCCACCTCATCTACTTTTAATACTCTGTTTTGTTCAGTGTTGGATTTGTTTTGGGAGGACAATGGCGATTTAAAAGCAAAGGGACAATATTTCATTTTTATCAAATGGCCATTTTCTAGGCTTTTATAGTTGACTACAAGGTCTTGTGGACATGGGACCACCTGAAATGGAAGTAAATTAAGCAGTTTTAACACACCACCCTCCTGCCCCGGCGTAAGTGTGAGACTCACCCTGGTGGGGAGATGGAAGTGCCTTTCCAGTCTTGGGTCTTGCAGTCATCCAGTACGTCTTTTCTGTGAATGCTGTGGATATTGGGTGCTTTCCTTTGCTAACATTTTCAAAGAGCAGTGTTGTTGATTTTATTAAAATCTTGGGGGAGAGAAATCAAGCTACCCTGTATGCCAGTTTAAAAGTCTTACTGTTTAAACTACAGTAAGCGGTTTAGCTTAATAGTGCTTATATTTGACAAGCCAATTGTAACAGTATTCTGAGGGCTCATTTAAAAGCTGTGTGCCCTGAGTATGAGCTGATTTCCTCTCTCCTCACTGAAGGGTCCTTGTGGGCCCTTCTTATCCAGTTACAGCTGTGTTTTAAAAGCTGAGTGACTGATATTGAGCAGGTTAGCATGAAGATAAGTCAGCTAGGCACTTTGAATTAACAGTGCTAGTGTTAAATGGCAGTCATCAGTATTTTAGCTTGTAGCTGTTGGTTTCTAAGCAGGAAAGGGAGGGATTTTCCATACAATGTGTGGAGGAGTCAGTCAATGAGAATAGGGTCTCTTCCTGGCTAACGTGATGCCTAGGAGGGGGAGGTACCTGGAAGTTTGTAATGAGGTTAGGGAGAGATATGCCTCTTCCTCAGTCGCTGCTAATGTCTCCTGGAGACTCTGGGGGTGCTTGTGATAAGATGGATGGCTCGATCAGGTGGATATATTGGAGGTGTATTGAGGTCCTTGTTCTTCCTGTGCATTACAGGGACTGTAGACAAAAAAATGAGTCGCACAACTGGAGAGAAAATGCAATACCACTGTCAATTCCATAGTTCTGTGTAAAGTTTCTATTTGCTTAAACTCCTTGAATGAATCACAACCTTTCTTTCTTAGTAATTATATACCTTATGCATTGGGATGTTTTTGGTTTGTGCACAATCAACAAGCATCTCTAATTTTGATTGAGAACCCAGAACCCCAGAAGTAAACTCTCCTGGATGTACATAAAAACATTTATTGACAACTACAGTACATATGAGCCTGAAGAGAAACTTGATGCTGTATACCGAGTTTCTTGGTTAACCCCAATGTTGAACCTAACACTTTGGACTACTTTGCTGTTTTATATGCACCTGTCGTGAGCCCTGCAAATGCTTTCATCTTGCAGCATTTTGTTCCCAAATTTTTATGGAAACTGCAGCCTGGGCTGCAACTGGTGCTGAGATTCTTAAAAGCTTTTTGACAGTGGCACATTTTCGTTACTGTGTGAGAGTGCCCTGGAGGTTATTGTGAAAACCAAATAAAGGTCATCTGTAATGCACTTAACATTGAAAGGATGTTTGATTCTAGAAGTCCTTGGTAAAATGAAGTCACACGATGGTCACAGGTGGTTTTGGTTGTGTGGGAGGGAAACATACAGGTAGCTGTGCCCCACGCTTTGACACCCATCCTTTAGGATCCATTAACATGTTGGGTTTTTGCTTTTTGTGTGACTATAAAAATGATTTGGGATAAAAAATAGCCATTGAATAATCCCCAGCTCTCCAGCTCAAGCTGTGTGGTTTGAGCTGGCTTCGGGCAGGCCTGTAGGGGAAGTATTTTTCCACTGGTAAAATCTCTCTGTCCCCCTTCCACATCACGATTGTATTCACAGATGAGTCACTAAGGTGTTTAGCATCTTAGAATGAGCAGCTGTGTTAGCCAACAAAGGTTTAGTATCTGAAAATATTCTAAAATCCCAGTGCCCAGACTTGGGAGTCTCGTATAGTCAATCAACTTGTGCTTCTATAAGGCAGTTTTGAGGCTCCATACTAACTCACTTGAGGTGGGAGATGATACCTACAGTGTTACAAAGAGCTGGACTACTGTATATCCTATTTCAGGCTTTCTCAGCAACATGCTCAGGCAGGTGTGATCTTGTTAATTGTCTCTGTGAGGCTGCCTGGTATTGTTACAGTTTAGCTCTGTTGCCATGGTTCCAGAAGTGCCATAAGATCTCTTTTCCTGGATCTCCAAAATCCCGCTGAGTCTGGCTGTGCTAAAATCTGTCTTTGGCAACCACTGTGCATTGGACTCCCAGTGACCGCGTTCTGAAAAGGATTACTTTTAATTTTACAAGTCTTTTTCCTTCATGACTCACAGGACTTTAATTTATTTCCTTGAGTCCGATTTATAGTTATAGAATACGAAGGCTTGGCCTTGGAGACTTGGTGGTTTTCATTCCAGTTAAGCTTTTTGTTCCTTAACTGGGCCTTTTGTTGCCTTAAAGACCCAAGAATAAGCATGTCTTTTGCCATTGGTTAAACTGGTCTACAAAACTTGGATGCTTGGGCATCCCCCACTGCTACGCCTGGATGCACCTCAAATTTCCCATCATGACAGAAAATGAAGTTAGCTGTTCTGGTGTGTTTGATGTATTCTGGCCTCATCAACTGTAAAGGTCCATCCATCCATTTTCAGCAACTGCTTTATAGCTGGAGGGTTGGGGCATGCCAGCAGGCACAGGGTTCAAGACAGAGCTTCACCCTAGCCAAGGTGCCGTTTACTGGAGCACTAACACCATTTTCTAGCAGCAGTGCAGGTACAACACTCCCTGAGCTTGGATATCTGGCTACAGGGTGCTCTGTTTGCTTAAATGTGGTATGTGTGTAACATACACAGCTGGTGGAGTAGAAACTATCATCCTGAGCCAAAACGGAGACAGAACATCCTTCAGGACACTGTTTCATACTATAATTCACATTTTGTAATTAAGTTGTGGTCGTCTAACCTGACCTTTGACGCCCGCTGGTTTAACAAATGCCTTTGGTTTTTCATTTTGTCTTATTGTGCTTCTACCAGATTTTAATATACAATTATATCCATTTATGTAAGCATAGAAAAGCTGGTTGACATATTACTAATGACCACTAGATGGCGGTGTCTTATAACTATCGGTGCTTTACCCACAGAACTTTAAAATGTTGACGAATTCCTCATGAAAGCTTTCTTTCGGCAATCAAGTGCTGTTTATTTGCCTGTTTAACCATAAATGTTCAAAGTAATGAAACAGCATTACTTCAACAAAAATATGATAAACTTTCTTTCTCTCTACTCTGGTCAGCTTTGGCACCTGGATTCCAGGCCATTAGCTTTAGTGCTGCTGATCCTTAATTATCATAGTGTTGTGTAGCATCAGGCATCATGATGGCACAGTGAGTAGCGTGGGGCTGGGGTTCTGTCTGCATGGAGTTTGTATGTTCTCCCTGTGTTCATGTGGGCTTCCTCCAGGTGCTCTGATTTTCTCCCACAGTCCACAGACATCCTGGCGTGTTAATTGGCTTTGGTGTGAGTGTGTGTCTGCCCTGTGATGGACCTGAACCCTGCCCTTGCTTGCTTGCCAGGATAGGCTCCTGATTCCTAGTGACCCTGAACTGAGATTAATCTGTTACTTATTAGGAGGATCAAGCTCCTGTAAAATCGTGGAATCCAGGTTGACTAATCTTGGACTACATCCAGCATGCTGGTCCATTCAAGAGTTGTTAGAAGACCTTAGTGCACATTTCAAAATATATCTCCAATACTGCAATATATTTCCACCTATATCTTGGCCCGTGTGGACAATATCACTGCTTCAAATGTAATCTAATAGCACAGACAGCGATTACCTCTTCATCCCAGTCTGTCTAAGATGCTCAAATGGCCCAATAACACAAATACACTGGATAACAATGCCAGCCTCCTCAAGTAATACGTTTGTGCTGATGACTCTCTGTTCTCTACTGTTGTCAATCTCAGCCTCTAAGCAGGGAAAGATATTTAATATTTTTTATATTTATTTGGGTGCAGCAAAGAGGATCAAACCTGTGGTAGCAAAACGAGACTCCTGCGTTCAGAGAGGCTATGCTGCTTTACCAGTGACATCACTTTGAGTGCAACAATTTCTCTCATTCCAAAATAGTGTTTTTTCCAAATATTGAGTTATTTCAGTAGATCCTGCAGTCAGGGCTCTGAAGCCCAGGCAAATGACAGTTATGGACTGACTGATCGAGCTGTGCACTGAGCTAGTTAACAAAGACAATGCAATTGCCAGGATTACTCAATTATCATGAGTTACATGATTACACGGGAGCAAAATAGCATCTGGAGAACTGTGGCCCCAAGCTACCAGTAACCAAGACCTCCACTGCAACCGCGATTGAAACAACATCCCGACGAGCCACCTGACTGAGCCCATTTCAGTCTTTTCAGTCTGTTCCAGTATTCCACTGAACCCTCCAAACACAAAAAAAGCCTTTAGATGAGACACTTCTGAGAGTTAATGAAAGGTTATGAGTGATATTGTGCTTTAGACGTTAGAAAAAATAAGTCATTTGGTGACTTATAGGATATTGATCCAAGGCCTTTTCTTAAAGCCAAGACCAGGTCTAGAATATATTACCATAAAGCAGACCCGTAGTCCACACTAACTCCACACGTCTCTTTATACTCCTGCATGCTAATTCTAATGGGATGGACTTCCTAATCTGGAAGTTCCCTGGATTACTAGAGTAACAGCTTCTCACGCTAGTTTTTTTTTGCCTTTGTAACGTCAAATGAACCAAGAGTGTAAGACCCTCTCTGGGTGGGAAGATCAGGATAAACTCCAAAGCAAGACTGGCACCAGTTAACACACAGCAGGATGGGAGCAGTTGGAGTAGAGTGTCTTGCTCAAGGGTACAACTGAAGCATCTGCATTGGTGTCTTGAACCCATTACCTCCTAGAGATGAGAACAAAAGAACCGAACAACCACCTGAGGACTGATAAATACAAAGCTCTTTTCTCTAAGTGTGTGGTATTTCGATTTGTGCTTGTATAAAAACTCTACTGCCATTTTTGCCCAGAAAAAGTACCGTGTTTCCCTCCTGTCTTAGCATCATTGCATTGGCCTCCTGTTCAGTAGAGATGACATAGAGGCCCTGCCTTTGACTAAAAATGCTTCAAATGAACACGTTCTCCAATATCTGACTTTTACTTAGCCTACTTTTTGTAGTTGCCTGCTGAGAGCAAAGGATGGGGACTTTGCTTTTGTAGAAAACCGAGATTGCAGCCTGCAGTGCGCTAAGCTTTTAATTTCTAGACTCCTCTGCTGTGGTGTGTACAGGAGGCAGCCGGATGCTGTTTTCAAAATAAGATCAAAAGTACATCTTCATGACTGAGGAATCTTCAAGGAAAAATGTATCGGTCTACTTGGCAATGTGTGTTATTTACAGAAAAAGCCAACTATTTTTTTGTTGCTTTTTTAAAACAAGGAGAATGCATTTTTATTACAATTTGCATTTTAAAGTAACAATTCTCTGGATTCTTGTGAAGGTTTTACCTCTCTGTCATGGGTCTTGAAATGCTTGATGCAGTGTTATGAACTGAAAAAGAGCTTGCTGTATTATCTGCAAATCTTGCTTCTGTCCAAGGTGCTTTAGGACATTCATCTGTTTTCTGGTTAGGATTATATGACAGTATGAACAATTATATTGCATTAAAAACATATTACATTAAAAAGAAGGAAGACTTTGTTGGTAATGACAAACCTTCTAGATCATGTCCTTTTTGAGAATATAGCCTCTTTATCTCTTTGTAGGAGAAAATCCAGTGATCATACTTGCATTATACTGCTTACAGATCCATCCAGGCAGAAACCTTTCATTTTTATTATGTTTTCTCTTTTCATAAATGAGAATCCTACACAGGTATGAGCTCTTGATAGCTTAAGTAATATTTTTTAAAATTTATTAACTTAATATCATCATAGCTAGTGAAAAAAGTAATGTGGCTCTTTACCCCCTAAAGGATTTTAAAATGGCAATTCTTGATTAGAGCAATATTGTTTATAATTCTGAGACATGCATTATTACTTAATGCAGTTGATGACTAAGTCAATTTAAATGTTAGCAATGCAATTGGATTATACAGATCAGGAATTATAAATTCCAGGATAAATAAAAAAATGTGCTGTGCAATATTAAATGGAACATTCAGTAGGATATACAGTAGCAAAACTCAATTAGTCACAAAGCACATCATGAAGACAATGCAAGATACTTAGTGGGCATAAAATTTTATGTAATACATAAAGTGTAATTGTGGAGGTATGTCTTAGTGCAGTTATAACAGAAAACTGGAACAGCTGCTAAATAATGATCCATTTATGGTACATTCAAAGATCCCATTAAGTGATAGGGGGCTCCAATCTAATCCAATGCTTCAACAGCTCCAATTGTGTTGAACAGCGAGAAAGTTTTTCATGTAGTCACAGAACCAAACTAAGAATGTGTTAGATATTAGCAATGTTTGAAATTTCCAAGTTAAA